AATTACATCTTTAACATAAAAACAGAAAATAAAAAAATTTAAAGATTATCAAATTTTCCTACAAACTTTACGCAGCGAAGTCATAATTCCAAATTTAAATTGATAAAACTGTTTTACTCCACCCCCAACAAAGAGAGAATGGATTGTCATCAAAATTTAGGCATTTAATATTTCTTGTATTTTAGGATCATCAACCATCCAGCAACATTTTTCTAAATAATTTTCTAATTATTAATCAACTTGCATATTCTGGCAAAAAAAAAAACAAATCATATAGAATATCATCCCCCTATCTTTTTTTTTTTGGGTGGCCAAATCATCCCCTTGTTTTTTATCCACATTTTGCTGACAACAATTATATTTTACTGCAATGTTCACCACATTCTCGAGTACACATACTACACATAAGTAACTTGTATTGTAGGGTTATTAATCTTCATTTTTCAATTTTACTTCTATTTAATTTTTGTTGGGAAGAGAGAAAGTGAAGAAAGAGGTGAAAATGATTAATAAATGCAAATAGAGAAAAATTTTAATAAAAAAAATTTTGAAAAATTATATCAGTTTAGTACATTCATTGATATGTAAAGTAAGTTACATAATAAGTATGTTAAACTGGTATAAAAGCAAAACACATGATTTTATTCAGATGTTCGACCAAACTTAAAGCATCGATCACCTGCTCTCTCTCTCTCTCTCTCTCTGTCTATATATATATATATATATATATATATATATAATATTGAAAGTGAGTTGACCAGACATATCTTCCATGGCTCGTGATGGGCATTCATATTACAAATAGACTAAGATTGACTACTTTTTCATTCTGTAAAGAAATAACGTGTTTTAATTAATTTGGAAACTGTTTTCCGAAACATTATGTGTGAACTACTTCTCTGGTCCTAAATATAAGACTCTTATACTAGTGTGTATAAGAATTTTATATGTAGAACTAGAGGAGTACGACTCCACTACACAGTTACTTGTTTGAAAATTATATGATGCACTTATATTGTGTTGAATCTTCAACAAAGAACTTACATAAGATAACAAGTTAAAAAAAAAAAAAAAGCATAGCTTGATTCTGTTTTCTGTCTTTAGAACATTTTTATAAAACTTTTTTTTTAAAACAAGTTTTGGGATGAAAGAACAAAAAAAAATATTTGCATGATTGTTCTAAAAACTTACATTTGTAAACAAAGAAACATAAGATTTGTCTGATACAATTGTTTTTAAAATCTCCTTGGAGAGTTGATAGAAGTTGAGAAATTGAGTGGAGGGTGCAGCAATCACAGATGGAGAGTTGAAGGAGTGAGAGAAAACGGAGACAAAAACAAACAACCCAGAAGGCAAGTGCAAGAGAGAGAATGGAGAGCATGGCTGTGACCAGGAAAGGAAATTAAGAAAAATAACAAAACCGAAAACAATAAAAAGAAATATAAACATTGTTGAGTTTTTTTCAATTTTGAAAACAGATTTCTAGTTTTTGTTTTATAAAATACTTAATTGAAATAATCAACCATCAAATAAGTTTTATTATTTTAAAAAAAAAATTATCTTCAAAACAAGAAATTAAACAAAGCGTGAAATATTAATAGCTGGCTTGGGAATTGGGATCATGTTTCTGTTGACTTTAGCTGCGATTTGACCGTTGTCGCTTTTAATGGGTAAATACTAAATATAATTTGGGGTGGACATGCTCTTGTTAGAATGTCTAAAGATAGATTTAAATAAAATTAAAAAGTCTCATCGAATAGAACTGAGTTTTATAATAAAATATACAAATGTGAAATAACTTATAAATTATTAAGCCTTGAGATTTAAAATTATAATATGGTGCGAATACCACTAATTCCTCATCTATTTATATTATACGTTTCCCTCATCTAATTACAGTGTTATTCTTGTTACTACACCGACCAAATCGGTCAAGAAAAGTGATTGCGTGCCTCCAAAGTTTTGTTAAACATTACTTCAACTATTAATATATATATATATATATATATGAAACATTGCTTTGAACGTACAACAATGTGAACGTAATTATTACTTTTAGATCTTAATATAAGAGTCAGTTGAGAATTCTACGTAAAAAAAATTTATCCAAAAACTTTTTTTTCCCTGATAACAACCAAAAAATAAAGATATGGTATAGACTATGGAGGAAATTTTTTTTCCTATGTGTAAGTATCCTCCTATTAAAATAATGGGCAGTTAAATTTCCTTTAATCTCTTAATCTTATAAATTATTATTTTTTAGTTACACAGGTAAATTGAAGCTTGAGAAAAATACAACCAGAATAAAATCCTAGCTTCCAACTTCACAAAGGTTAAAAAAAAAAAAAAAACTAGGAGCACTTTTGGAGATCCTCCAAAAATATTCCTCATCTGGGCTAGTCAGTGGATGAAAGTAGGCTAGACCCTTATCAGGAACCTATAGTTTAGTCTATATAACACTTAGCCTAGTCTATTTAGTAAATAGGTCAAGTTTATATTTAGATCTATTTATAGGCTTATTTAGGCAACCAGGCATAAGGCCTAGCCTATTTTTTTTAATATAAATTAATTTTATTATTTATTTATAAAATTATAAACTCTAGTTTGATCATGAGTTTCACATCACAGTACTCCTACATAAGATCAGCCTCCTTTCTTTTATCAATCATTCATCTCTACCTCTCATCTTTTCAATTGCTCATAGCTTACTTCCTCTCCCCTGATCTATGTTTTTTTTTTTTACTGAACTACTCTTATATTACAAGTGAGAATAAATTCTAGACTTTTAAAATTTAACGTAAGTTTTTAAATAGATTTGAAGGCTTATATATGAATTTTGAGATATAATTTTTAAGCTTATCTAAACCCTAAAAGCTCACATTTTAAGTAGACCTTTAAATATGCTTCAAGTCTTGTTAGGCCTTTTGAAGGCTCAAGCTCAAGTCTAAAAAGAGCCTATATGTAAGCTCAGGCTTTGGTTTTAGATATTACAAGCTCAAACCTATTAAGCTCAAGTTAATAACTTATTTTCATTCCTATCTAGTACAGTCTAATATGAATGATTGGGCCTTTCTCCTCTCTTTTTGGTGCTCTCTCTGTTTTTTTTGGCCTTCATGATGAAATAAGTAAATAAATTAACAAGCATGCTCTTTCTGCCTTTCTCCTTGATTGGGCCTTTCTCCTAGCTTATCTTCAAGTCTTGTTAGGCTTTTGAGGGCTCAGGCTCAAGTCTAAAAAGAGTCAATATGTAGGTTCAGGTTTAGGTTTTACATATTTATTACAAGCTGAGACCTATTAAAGGGGTGTTTGGATAGAAGCCAAACCATGGTTTCAGAAGTGCTTTTATGGATTACGAAGTAAATATGTGGAGGTTACCTCGTTTTGCAGAAAAGTGATTCTGAAACCGTGGTTTTGGTTTTACCAAACACCCCTTAAGCTAAAGTTTAACTTAACCTAGCTTATTTTTATTCCTATCCAGTACAGTCTAATATGAATGATTGGGCCTTTCTCTTTTCTTTTTTCATGCTCTTTTTTTTTTGTTTTGTTGCTTTCGTGATCAAATAAGTAAATGAATTAACAAGCATAATGGACATACATTAAGAGATTTCATAATCCTTAAATTAAATAAAGGTTTTCAATTTAAATTTTGTCAATAAAATATTATGCCGGTCAATATTTTTTTCATTTGAAATCAATTCAATTTAAATTCAGATTAGTGGATAATACTACCTCCATTTCTAATTATAAGAGCTTGTTTATAGAGTTTTAATTATAATTAGGACCGGGCGTAGATGATATAGCATAAGAGCTAACAAAAAAATTGAGGAGCGTGCGAGGAATAAAATCTTATGTCTCCTATCTGCTGGTCAAAAAAATGTCTCCTATCTTGGTCGCCCTCCGAATAATTAAGATGCTTTTATTTGTTGGCCAAAAAAAAGTTAAGATGCTTTTATTTGAAAATCGAGACGGGGCGATGTCCTGCATCCCAGCGTTGCACAGTTGTCTGCAGCTGCAATGATTATATTAAACAGTGTTTTTGTCCCTACAGTTACATCACATGTAAATGCGCCTATGCATTATTTTTATTATTTGTCTTTTTTATTTTGTTGAAGTGCTACATTGAATAATCGAAATCTTTTGCATAGCAACATGTGGATGGGTACAACCATTTCTGTTTTCTCTGAAGCTAACTTCTAAAAGAGTTGCTTTGCAGATGGGTAAAAAAAAAAAAAAACCTCATGTTTAACGTGAAACAGTGTCTTAAACATGATTGTTTTAATAGGAGGATATTTGTGAGTAGAAAAAAATTATTTGTTAATTTAATTATATGTGTATGACCATTATTTCCTTTATTCACAATCATGTGCTTTTTTTTGTCCTTGCAATATCCACGTTGGATCAATCACATTGACAAGCATTTTCAATTAGACCCAATAGTGTTAGAGTTTATGGCAATGATACTCATGCGGCTCAATTTAGTTCAAGAAAAATATTAAATTTTATTAATCCAATTTCTAATGATTTTTTATTTTATCCATATTTTTTAAAAAGATTTACATTACACAAATAAAATTATACATTCATATGAAAATTTTAATAATGTAAATCATGAATAAGACCCGAAAAGTCCTTTTCCTACCTTATAAGTAATATTTCTCATGTACTAAATATAAAACCCTTTTTATAGTGTGTAAAAGGATTTTATCTTTAGGACTGGAGGAGTACCATAATTGGACCATAAAAATAAATTAAAAAAGAATAATATAAATTATAAATGAATTAATCTTTTAATGTTTTCTTCAGAACTACATGATGAAAGGGCAAGCACAGAGCAGGATAGTGTTCCTTTAAGGGGGTGTTTGGATGAAAACTAAACCATGGTTTCAGAAGTGATTTTACGATCTACAAAGTAAATATAAAAAAGAGTTTATCTCGATTTACAAAAGAGTGCTTCTGAGAACCACTTTTCAGGTATTCAAACACCCCCTAGATGAATCGTATCAACCCAATCTGACACGGCTTCTATTTGCTGCTAACTTGTTCAATAGTTCGGTCAGGCTCTTCTTCTTGCTTGACCCTTGAGATCCGTCATCCTCAGATGTCTTGTTTGACGGCGACGAAGGTTCCGGCGAGCTGTGCCGTTTCTGTCCAGCCACGACTCTTGCTGCCGGCTCCCGCGGTGTCTCCGACCCAACGAGGTGAGGAAAATTGAGCTTGGCTCTTCTACCATGCATCTTGAAAGCGGCTCTATCATAAGCCAGAGCTGCATCCTCTTCCTTCTCATAAGTTCCCAGCCACGTCCTTGCACCGTTTCTATTCGGGTCCCGGATCTCAGCAGCGAACTTCCCCCACGGCCGCCGCCTCACACCTCGGTAATTCCTCCATCTTGGTGGCGCGTTCCCTTCACGCGCCGCAGATTCCGGATCACTACCGTTCACTCTGTCATCATCACCTGGTTTCGTAGCGTTGTCATCCTCGCCGGAAAACACCGTGCCAGTGGAGCTGCTAACTCCCTGCTCCGGCGAAGCCATGTCACAGTCCAGATTCGAAGTACGGTTGCTGCCAGTGAAGACGCCATTCATGAGAGCCATCGAGGAGGAAGGATCGTCTTCTTCGATCAGGTATTGTTGAACTGATGATTCGAAAGGAGAATAATTAGAGTTCATTTTTGAGAAGCTAATTAAGCTTTCGCGGTAGTATAGAAACACAGGATTAGTGAAACTAAATTGGCTTGGATATTTATATATGTATGCATGGTGAATTTTTTTCAAAGCGATTATGCCATTTAATTATGGGAGAATTTCACTAAAGGACCGCAGAACACAATTAATGTCAAAGAGCCCCCAAAACTTTCTGAAACCTCACTGCAGGAGTAAGGGACCAAATTGAAATTAAAATTTAGAGTGAGATTACAATAATATCCCTTGGTCTTGCAGTGAGGTTTCAGAAAGTTTTGGAGCCTCTTTGACATTAATTGTGTTCTGCGGTCCTTCAGTGAAATTCTCCCTTTAATTATTGTGTTCATTGTTTCCATGAAGCGTCGATTGTTAATTTGGAGTTGTCGACGCCTCTGATTGGTTAACTCAAACATTATTTGTTTATTTATTTATTTATTTATTTATTTGTGAGCATAAAGGCTTAATTATTACGTGCTATGATGGTTTCTTTATTTGTGATATTAATTATATTAATAATTCCGATCCAAAATATCGAAGCTAGTTAGGGAAGGAACTGCTTTCGGTGATCACAAAATCTGAACCATCTAGAATTAATATGAATGATTTAGATTTAATTTTTTGTAACTCTTACTTTTTAAAAACTTTTTTTAATGGATATTTAGATGGTGTAGGTCTTATTGTAGAGGTGAACTGTAATGAGGATCAAAACTACTTCGTTTGGAAAGTTGGTTTTAAATTTAAATATAATATTTTAATTTATTTTATCTCTTATGTTTAAATAATATATTATATAAGAATATTTTAAAGAAATATTTGGTTTTATTAGTTAAGCAGTATGACCGCAGCATTATCACCAGTCAAAGGTTTTAAAAGCCTCATTTTTCACACATTAAAGCAAGGAAAAAAGATAGACTAAAGAATCCAGCTTTTACAGCGTCAGGACACCCGTCTTTCAGGACGTCATTTCTTGGAAAAGTCCGGAATGCATCTGACTGTTTGTGATTATTCAATATTTACTCGCTCAAGTCCTCTGCGTATAAATAGCAATTAAGTAAATTACGGTTATTAAAATTAATTAAAAATAATAAATATATAAGACATGTAATTTTTTCTCAAATACATTATTATTTATGAAGATAATAGAGAAGACGAAAAGGAAAAGAAATGAGTAAAACATATATTTATTTTGTCATGTTTATAAATTACTTCCAACATAAACTAAGAAAAATTTTAAATTTTATTAACTCTCATTTAAAATTTAACAATTTTTTAATTTTATCCCTATTCAACATACATTATACCTTATGTAAACAAAGTCGACATAATAATAAATGAAGGGTAAAATTATACATCCATACATAAAATTTTTTAGTACCTCATAAATAGGACCAAAAAAATGTTTTCTCTCTGTACTCTATAAACAGGATTATAGAAGTAATGAGTAATTGTTAAATAATGAAAAAAAGGGATTAAATTTGTAGAAAAATATGAAATCTTGCTTATATATAAGACCAATCGCATGTGAGAAAATATCACTTACATAAAGAATAGGAGAAAGTAATATTTTTACTACTAATTTTATCTGAACTTTTTTTTATTGGAAGAGAATGAGGTTTTCTGAAATTATTTTAACTTCTAATTATATCATCGTTCAAAAAAGAATGTTGAAGGTGATGAAAAATAGTACAATTATTCGAATTTGTGTCCCGAAATCTGTAAAGGTTAAAGAAAAATGATTTATTTCTATTTTTGCTTAATCCCATTTTTTGTGTATGTTTAATAGTTTTGAATAAACTCATCCGTCATCACGTGTAAAGAGAGAAAATTATACATGAAGACAAAGATATGAGAATATTTAGTTTTACTTGGATAGAAAAAGAAAAACAGAGAATATTTAGCTTTAGTTAAGTATGCCATATATTTGTTACTATAAGAAATATTAATACTATCTCCCATCCTTAATATAAGATTTGATTTAATTTTTATTTTGATCTTAAATATAAGACCCCAATCCATTTTGTCTCTCATATTTATATATATTTTTTCAAGATAGTCCTTCTAATAATAGTAGTTCTAGCTAATATACTTGATTACTAAGGATAATTTAAAAAAGACAATACTTATTTATTATAAATAGCTAACTCAATTTATCTTCTTAATCTTTTTAAATTAATCAACTAACTCTTATAATTAGGATCGAAAGTACGAGTAGTATTTAATAGCTACCCTGCGAGACAAAATAGCAATTGACCTCCAAAACGGAAAAAACATAATTGGGAAAATTGCGATTAGGTCTTATTTAAGGGAATTAAATACAAAAAAATCTCTTAAAATCATGAACTTATTTTGAAATCTTAAGGGACCTTTTTACAATAAATTTTATTTGTTTAGTTATCAAATTGCCTTTTTTTTTTAAAATTTGTATTGACAACTGAAAGAGTAGTGATTGACAACTTATGATGTAAGGATTGACAACTATCGCGATAAGTATTGATAACACATTTTCTTAGCACATCACAAAATCTAATGCATGAGTTGTCAATACCTGCTGTGATAGTTGTCAGTCCTTACACCCTAAGTTGTTAACTGTTGCTCTTTCAGTTATCAATGCAAACTAAAAAAAAAAAAGTAATTTGGTAATTAAACAAATAAAATTTATTGCAATAAGGTACTTTGGAGCTTCAGAATAATTTTATGATTTCAAGAGACCTTTTTGTTTTTAATTCTTTTGGATGAGATCTAATTGTAATTTTCCCAGCATAATTTTCTAACATCACGCGGTCAAAATTTTCACCTAGACAGCGAAACTTCTCGGAACCTTCGGACCAGCAAAGAGTGTTTTACGTTAAGTTTTATTATTCCTATGGGATATTAGATATAAAATTTAAATAACTAATTTATAAAATATTAGGAAAATTAATTTAATTATCTTAAAAAAGTGCGTTATTGTTTTTCAAAATAGCCTTTAATTATTTATATTTAAATTACTGATGGAAACTCTACTTAATAAGTGAGATTGATATTTGAGGAAAAAATTATAAATTTGAGAAATAAAGTGAATTATAATTTTACATTTAGAATCAAAACAAACTTTTTAGTAACTTTAATATTTAGGACCAATGCGAGTATTAATTTTTTTTTAAAAAATTCCTTCAGCCCTTCTTTTTCCTTTTAAAAAAGCAACTTTTGTTATCAAAATTCAAATTCAAATATGTATTTTTAACATATTACTTTTCAAGCCACAGAGGACTAATTAGGGATTTCAAAATTTTGTTAAATGACCACATTGCTTCTCAATTTCATCTCATTTTTTTCCTGAAGCCACCTCTGCCAATAGCAGTCGCAATTGGCGCTCCGGTGACTATCTCACTTGCGGCCGATCATCGATCAATAGCGGTGGTTTTGGGGAAAGAAAAAGAGATGGCTTTAAAAAGACAATGAAAAGTAACGTGGTCATTCAACCAGATTGTGAAGTCTCCGGGTAATGATCTTATTATGAATTTATTAAAAATATAAGCATCAATTTGAATTTTAGTATTTCTGATAGATTTAATTGCGATTTTCCCAATAAAATTTAATTATGATAAAAATGTACCCTATTAACAGTTCATAAATAGGGTAACTGGATTTTCTTCTATAAATAAAAACTTATTTTTGGATATTTTAATATTTGAATGTCTTAAATGTTATTAATTATTTATTTTGAAACATTTTGAATAATATTTTAAAGTATAAATATAAAGTCTCAATTCATTTCTGAAATGTTTAGTCTATTCAAGAAGAATCATTCGACTTAATCATCTTCATATCATAATCAAACTAAAAACATTGTATTTAGGTTTAGATTTGAAATCGATATGTACCACTACACATAGTGGTCTAGATTGGGACTGAAATGTGAAAAAAATTAGAAAACGCCAAAACTGATGAAATAGGAGAGAGAGGCTGAACAGGAAGTAAATAAAGGAAAGAAAGAATAAAAGTAGAGCCACCACAATTCTCGTCCACATAATAAGGGGATATTTTAAAGGGATTAAAATTTCATTCATGGATTACTATCGCAATTTTGATATCGACGCCTAATAGTTCTGAAATTTCAGCTTAGTACTTAAGAATAAAAATAAAATTATAATTTTATGTAAAATGATCAAAATGCCTTTGATATTATTTTTTAAAAGAAAAAAATCAGCTCCAATGCTGACGGCTGGCCGTAGAAATAGGTAGTCAGGGGTTTGAACTCATAAATGCCTCTTCACACTCCAAAAAGTATGATGCAATTACCAAGCCATTAAATCCTTTTAATCTTGTGGTGCAAACATAGTATATGTAACAAGCTTATGTTCATAATTTATATCCTGCTAATGTCTTGATGTTAATTCTCTCATATGACTTGTTAATTTGCTAATTGTAGTTGTTTATACACGAATGTTCATTGGTGAACTTTTAGGAATCTGAAAAAAGGGATAGTTATGTGCTTTTGTTAAACATGGGATAAATTAAACAAAAATGAATTAAGATAAATTTAAAAAACTTGCTATTATATTTAAAATTGTAAGTTATATAATTTAATCAATTATATGTATTAATTCAAGGAATTTGCCAAGATACTTGGTGAAACTTATAGGCTTCAAGCTAAAATCCTTACCAAAACAAGCTGTAATTTCTTCCACTTTAATAATGTCATTGCATAAAATCTCATGACATTTACTAACTCTTTTTGCTGATTTTCATTTTATGCATTATTTTTAGATAACATTTCATATATTCTTTTTGAACTTTGATGCTCCTATTTTATAAAACTGGGGTTTATTTTGTTTTTATCTTATTAATTCTAATTTATTACTTGATTTGTATCAGGAAAAATCTGGGGGTCTGTGTTCTTTACTGCTGCTAGTCAGAGTTTCTAGATGGAACCCTGAATGTAGACACGATATACACATGTAGAGAGAGGGGGGACACGGATATATGACTTCATTGTGTTTAGTCTA